AAATTTTCGCACTGACAAAAAATAATTTGGATCGAACTAATTTAGTTTCTATTATAAAAATGCAAAACATTAAATAGCAATTATTATTTTTAATTTGCGTTTCTCAATGCTTTTCTTTATGTTATATTAATTATAAGCCGTAAAGTTGAGTACAGCTTTTACAAAAACTCTACTAGCTTATTTAGAGTATATTACTCAGTTTAAATAATATTTAATAATTTACGTCATTTTCAGTATCATTTATATTAAGTTTAAGAAAAAAAACTGTAGGGAAGCCGATAAGAAATTATGTCTTAAATAATAGGTCGATGTAAATTGTTATAGAAAAGAAACTTGATTGTTATGTCTTTCACAGACCTCAATAAATTAAATGTTTATCTTCCTGAATTTAGATAAAATATTGCATAAAAACAGTTATTACCATAACAACCTTGAATAGTAAAAAATATTTTAAAACCAAATAGATGTTTATTATAAACCTACATAGAATCAAGAGATGAAGCCCCTCCAATGTAGAAAGCATAATTCTATCCAATTTGTTGAGTGATCGCTTTATTTTAAACTAACGCATTAGTTCTTAATGTTGGTAATAGAGAGTAACTCTTACATTTTTTTAGATTAGTAGGGCTGCCTACTAGTTCACAGTCAAACAGCTTAGATTTCAATTCAATACATTCCTATTATTATAAATGTGTAATTAATTATATTATTAATAATAATTAAGTTTAGAAGCATTTATATCCTAGTTAGAAACGTTTTGGTCTTAACAGAAATATTATTTCTTAATCATATTAGCTAAATTAATAGTCTGAGTCTTAAATAAATATTTACCTAGCAAACATCTGCAACATTAATGATACTAATTGGTCGCCTAAAGCCTTGCAAAAGTTTAACTTCATGCTCAACTATTTAAGATAATTCTATAATTCTATACTTAATGCACGGCGCACAAAAATAGATACGTACAAACTGCTAAGCACTTTTATATGAGGAGAATATCTGAGAGCCTTTGCCTTCCCAGAAAGTAAAGAAAAAAGCAGAACAGGTAAAAGGAAGGTTCCGGCTCCTTCTGTTATACAAAAATAACAAGCTCAGTCCCTCTCGCATTACTCTTATAAGTCATGAATTAGCGCTCCTTTTGTGCCTTATTTAAATTGGAAATATTACGTTGTAAAAGCGTTTTAACATTAGTTTTTTCTATACTAAAAATTTAAAAAAATTTTCTTAAATATAATCTCAAAGAAAAAAGGCTTAAGTAATTATATATTTTTTCCTATATGCAAGTTAAAAACAATGCTGGTAATTATCACTTTCCACACTGCTATTTTATTTTTAAAAAGTGAATTTCTTGTTTTGAACTTAGAAAAAAAATCCTTTGGCGTTTTAACCAGGCACTTTTGCTATAGAATAGAGATATATAGTAAAATTTTAGCCTTCTACTAATTTATAAAATTTTTATAAACAACTATACACCTTCAGTAAGGATTGCATTATTTATTATAACCTATACAAATGAAGTTTGTTTACTGTTGTAAGTTTTATTATTTATATAAATAGATTTAAAACTTAAAGGCACCCTGAAGGTGGGAAGTTTAACTCAGGGTAAATTCTATACAGAAAACAACTAATTTGACCGGGGTCCCAATGCATCATATTTGGAGAAAAGTAATAGTCTTTTCGTTGGATCTGTTCCAAAAAAACATAAGTTTGGGTTCATCGTAATAAAAGCCATACAACGCAAGTACAAAAGAATGCCTAGCTATTCAGGAGAATAACAATATTTTTAGAGGCAAACAGTACTAATATAAAATTTACCGCTAATTTAACAAATTTTAACTTCACTATACAGCAAATGAGTTAACTTATAAAAGGTAAACTGTGAAATTGTTTTGACTATTTTTTACCTGAATTCTATGAGGTTACTTTTATTCTGTTAAACTCTTTTGTAAACATGAAACGCATTGAGTTTAATAAAACACATTTACGCTACGCATCTTTATAATCAAGGAGATTTCTATAAGGATTTGTTATGGATTGGTAAAAAGGTGCTAAATTTCGCAAACCATAGAAAGAATATTCAAGACTGTAGCATCGTTGTAAATTATACAACAATATTTTATTCCACCAAAAATCTAAATAAAAATTACAAATGCTTTACTATTATTTATATAAACAATATTTTTTCTCAATATAAAAGTTTTATAATTAGAAATATATATTATTTAGAAGAAAAGTGCATATAATAATAATTTGATTTGGCGAAACTTTAATTTTTTTTATAATACACTCTTTTAATAGCGATTAATAAAAAGTTTTAAATAAAAAAACTTTTAGTATAATTTTGTAAAAAAATTTAATGAAGTATATTAAGCTTAAAAATTAAATAGAAAATTTGCATCTTACATTCTTCTTTCATACTATTTATTAATAATATAACTACTATTGATTAAAATATATTTAATAAATTAGCATTATTTTATAGTAATAATTTATATAGTAAATAATTAGAATGAGTAAAAATAACGAGTAGCAAAAAATGAGATGAATTTAGTTTAGTTCTTATATAACATAATTTATTAATTAACAAAATTTTATAAGTTTAATATTCAATAACATTTTATATAACAAATCAAAAAGTACACAAGGTGAATCTAGTTTTTTTCTTGTGGACTATTTATCAATATTATATTGAAATATGATTTTTCAATAAAAAACCAAAAAAAAAGATTTTTGGTATTTTTATATAATTAAAATTTATTAATTATATAGATCGGTAAACGTAAACTTATGAATTTTAGTTATTTCTTTTATAAATATTTAGTAATGTATAGCTATTAAAAAAATTACTTTAAAAAAAAAGGCCTTTTTTAATATTTAAATTTAAATTCATATAAAATAAATTCTCATAAAGAATTTATAAAAGAGTAAATTTGTACAAAAATCTCATTATTTTCTTTTATACTACTTAAATATATAATATTATAATAATTATTAAGGAAAATACTTGAAAAAAAACAGTTTTTTAGTATTATTTATATAATAAAAATAGAGATAAGATTTGTAAAGTAAAAGGTAAATACAAACTCAAGATTGAGTTAAAATTTTTACACTATATTTATTAATATAACAGTGTAACATTAATTAGAATACTTCAAATAAAGCCTCTTAGTCTCAGTTTTATAAAAATATATATAAATAGTTATAATAATTAATGAAAACGTGGAAGGAACTTCATACTTTTGCACTATTTATTTTATTAGACCAAATTATTAGTATAAATCATTGTGTGCTAATAAATGAATTTTGTAACGTACTAATTTGTCAAACTTTTATAATTGTCACTTACTTTTGTATAGTTTAATAGCATTGAACAACAAGGAAGTTTTTTTTTTAAACTTTTGGTGCGTTTTTCCTCACTGCCTATACATAACTCTATAAAATCATGTGCTTAGAGTTAGATTTGTAAAGTAATAGTTTGCTTATATACTTAATTGTCCCTTACATTATTCTAAATTACAATGGGAAACAAAAAGTTTCTTTAAAAACTTTTAAGGCGTTTCATTTCAAACGGCTTAATAATAGCTTACTACTACATAGCTTATTATAAATTTGTAATGTTTGCTAGTAAGTTAATTTAATAAATAGTAATAGTTAATATACTTGATTTTCACTCACATTATCTAATTTAAATAACAATGAACAAACGATAAGTTTATTTCTTAAAACTTTTGAGGTTGTTTTTTCCTCTCCTCTTGATAATAGTTTATTTACTAAATGATTTGTTTTGTATGCTAATAAGCTGGTTTGTAAAAATTAGTAACATAATCTTCGTTAACAGTGTTATAGCTTGTTTTCTACCAAAAAGTTTTGATAGCTCAAGTTTTTTAAATATATTAATTTAGCAAAGAGAGTCATTAATTTTAATGTTTCAGTTAATTCTTTTAAATTCCAATAAATTTTTTTTCTTACTTATGCTAGTTATGGGTAAATTAATTTATTACAAACCGTTTTATGGGCTGATGTGCTGGTTTTGGGTATAGAAATTTTTTTATTTGTTAATTTAGCCGCTTCCAGCTTGTTCCCTTTTGTGTTTTCTTAATATAATAGACAATTTTTTATATATTCGTTAAAGTTAATTACTTTTTTTTAGTTTACACGCTACCGATAAGTTAACTTAATAAGAAATTCAAGTGTACTAATAAATTTGGTTTTCTGTGAAGTAGCAATTATTTAACCTACTTTATTCTATCTTTTCTTTTTAAAAGTTTTGATAGCGCGAGCTCTAGTAATTTTTTTTATCATAATACAAAAAAAAACTTTTCTTTTAGCTTTGTTATTTTCGTTCTACTGAATGACTTGAATAAGAAAAGCAAGATTCGGAAAGTACAGTATTTGAATATCTGCAACAGAAGGCACAATTCCTATTTGTTTTAAAAAAAAAAAAACTTTTTTAATACTTGCAATCGTTGCACGTAAATCAAAATTATTTAATATTTGTCCCCAATTTACACTGCCTCTGACTCTCTTCTCGAGTATAACAAGGGGTAGCATTGTTGAAGAGTGCTCACTCGAGAGGGGTTGCTATTACGTGCTCTTTGGCAATATTATAGTCAAAAGTTCATATATCCATATATTATTTTTTATTAAACCTAACCCTTTATCCCGATATATTGAAACGTTTAATGCAATGCAATGCTCTACTAAAAACACCGTTGTACTAAATAGATGATAAAGTAAAAACATATAGTAGACTTATTCTAAGAGTTTAGGAGTAAGTAAGGTACAGAAAAATATTAAAAAATCAACTATATTAAAAATTATTATTACATCGCCTTTTATGATTTATACAGAAAATACCGGCACCATCATGTAAAAGAGAGTGTAATACGTCTAAATGAGTTTATTTACTATCCCTACCCCACTATAGGGAGATCAGGAAATGATTTCAGTATTATTGCTCGTGGTGTGAGTAGATCCTGGCTAACTTGATGTATGGCACTTAGCTTTATTAAAAGCATGAAAGATTTCTAGGTTCCCTTTAAAAGTGCAGTTTCCATTAACATAGCTTAATTCATTGTAGAGCACCCGCGAGCAGCAAAGAAAATTTTGGTCAAGTATTAATTTACTAGTAAATTTTAAAAGGTAATTAAAAAAAATTTGTAAGACTGCAATACTAAGGAATAGAAAATTACATGCCATGAGGGTACCAGGAAGCCACAAAAGCTTTAGCCCCAATCTCAGTTAAAGGATTTTCTGTAAGATCCCTAATGGTTATGTAAAAGATAAATATTAATAAATACTTAACAGGAGGGACACCTGGAACAACACCGTCGCCCCGATAGGTCTTATTATATAAGCAGTTTTACTAAAATTATTTCTAAAATGCAATTATATTGGTCTTTAATAACCTGACTAGACTGATAAACTGTGCGAAGCCTCGGCTTACGCGGTTTATTTAGATGTTACAAACAGAAAGTTTTTGGAAAAACAATAAATCTAAACGTTTAGAAAACGATTGGAAAAAGTATAACAAGATGTGAAAAGATGCCTTCAAAAGCAACACAACATGATAAGTATATGCAAGAAAGAAGCTATGTAATATGATAAAACGTACAGTAACAAGATCTCTAAAAGTATATAAAAAGATGAGAAGTTCAAAGTTAAGATAAAATGTAAGGTATATTACTACACCTTATTTAAAATTAATGTAAAAAAAGTTCAAATAGGGAGTTCCAGTGGTAGTACTAAAGAAAAACAATGTAATGCATAAAATAGTCAAAGATTGAAGTGAAAATGGGTAGCAAACTTAGTGCAACGTAGCTCCTACGATTGGTTTATTCCTATCTTATATAGTCGCTTCCAAATTAAGGTGCCTTATAAACCGTCCCCAAGAAAAGTAACGAATAGAATAAAAAACTTACAGTTCCGTCAAGGCAATGAGATGGGAAAACGAATCGTCTTCAACTGATTTTATTTTGTTATTCCATAAAGATCTACAATATGTTAATAACATAGTTATAGAATTTAAAAAATACTGAACACGATTATTAAGACTCTTAATAATACTAAAAGGAAGTAACTGTATAATTTTAGTAAGCGGCGAATAATTTATGATTTATTTGAATAACGTAAGTGAACAGAATATTATATAATGAAATATTTTATGATAGGATCATAATTATGGCCTTACAATAAAGTCAAATTACGGAGGCCAGAAAACAATTCTTTGCTGATGAAGGTAAGTTGGTTAGAACCTAAATTCCTTAAAATTTACGTCAGTAGTAACATTAGAAGCAAAATTTATAATAAGTATGGTAATAATTAAGCTTAAAATCCATCCATTTGGTCCTTTAATATTAGTGAAAAACAATATATATAGCAAATATGAAAACTCAGAAAAAATTAAATTCTAGCCAAGGAAGAAGACTGTAGTTGCAATAGATTAGCAAGGTAAAATAAAAAAAATTTATCAATTAGCTTATGGAATGACCCGCAAGCTTTTTAATAAAAAATAAGAATCTTACAATGTCTTCAAGGCAGTGAGGTGAGAAAACAAATCGTCTTTAATTGACTTTAATTTGTTATCTATTAAAGCTCTACAAGTAATATGTTAATAATAGTTATAGAATTTAAAAAATACTGAACACGAATATTAAGACTCTTAATAATATTAAAAGGAAGTAACTATATAATTTATCTAAAAAGCTAAATTATAGCTAACGGAGAGAGTTGTAGTTGAAAAAGATTAGCAAAATAATGCTGCTTGAATTTATCAATTAGCTCATGGAAGAAAGTTCATCGTGAGATAATCCACAACATTTTAAATAAAAATAACAAACGTACAGATCCGTCAAGGCAACGAGATGAGAGAACGAATCGTCTTCAATTGATTTTATTTGACTATTCCATAAAGTTCTACAAGTAATATCTTATAACATAGTTATAGGATTCAAAAATACTGAACACGATTATTAAGGCTCTTAATAGTATTACAAGGAAGTAACTATACAGTTTGTCGAGTAAGTAGTGAACATTTTATGATTGATTCGAGTAGCATGAATGAACATAATATTATTATATAATAAAATAGTTAATGATAGGATCATAATTATAGCCTTACAATAAAGTCAAATTACGAAGGCCAGAAAACATTCCTTTGCTGATGAAGTTAAGTTGGTTATAACCTAAATTCCTTATAGTTTACGTCAGTAGTCATATTAGAAGTAAAATTAATAAGTACGGTAATAATTAAACTTAAAATCCATTCAGTTTGCCCTTAAAAATTGGTGAAAAAACAATATATAGCAAATATGAGAACACAGAAAATTTAAATTCTAGCTAACGTAGAGGGCTGTAGTTGAAATAGGTTAACAAGGTAATGCTGCTTTAATTTATTGATTAGTTTATTGTTATCAAAACAGAAAAATAAAACAAATAAAGTTCACCGTGGGATAATCTACAAGCGTTTAAATTAAAATTAAACATACAATATCGTCAAGGCAATGAGATGAGAAAACGAATCGTCCTCAATTGATTTTATTTTGTTATTCCATAAAGATCTACAATATGTTAATAAAATAGTTATAGAATTTAAAAATACTGAACACGATTATTAAGGCCCTTAATAATATTATAAGGAAGTAACTGTATAATTTTAGTAAGCGGCGAACACTTTATGATTTATTTGTATAACATAAGTGAACAGAATAATATTATAAAATAAAATAGTTAATAGTAGGATCATAATTATGGCCTTACAATAAAGTCAAATTACGAAGGCCAGAAAACATTCCTTTGCTGACGAAGGTAAGTTGGTTAGAACCTAAAATCCTTATAGTTTATGTCAGTAGAAATATTAGAAGAAAAATTAATAAGTATGCTAAAAATTAAGCTTAAAATCCATCCATTTGGTCCTTTAATATTAGTGGAAAAACAATATGTATAGCAAATATGAGAACTCAGAAAAAATTAAATTCTAGCTAAGGAAAAAGACTGTAGTTGAAATAGATTAGCAAGGTAAAATAAAAAAAATTTATCAATTAGCTTATGGAATGACCCACAAGCTTTTTAATAAAAAATAAGAATCTTACAATGTCTTCAAGGCAATGAGGTGAGAAAACGAATCGTCTTCAATTGATTTTATTTTGTTATCCAATAATATTCTACAAGTAATATGTTACTAACATTGCAATAGGATATAAAAAATACTGAACACGATTATTAAGGCTCTTAATAATATTACAATGGAGTAACTATATAATTTATCGAGTAAGCAGCGAACATTTTAAGATTGATTCGAGTAGCATGAGTGAACAGAATATTATTATATAATAAAATATTTAATGACAGGATCATAATTATGGCCTTACAATGAAGTCAAATTACGAAGGTCAGAAAGCAATTCTTTGCTGATGGAGGTGAGTTTGTTAGAACCTAAATTCCTTATAGTTTATGTCAGTAGTAATATTAGAAGAAAACTTAAAAATTAATATGGTTGTTATTAAGCTTAAAATCCATCCATTTGGTCCTTTAATATTAGTGAAAAAACAATATGTATAGCAAGTATGAAAGCTCAGAAAAATTAAATTCTAGCTAACGAAGAGGACTGTAGTTGAATAGATTAGTAAGGTAGTACCTATAAAAATTTATCAATTGGCCTATGAATTAACCTACAAGCATTTTGAAAAAGAATAGGAATCTTACAATTCAGTCAAAGCAACGAGATGAGAAAACGAATCGTCTTCAATTGATTTTATTTTGTTATTCATTAAGTTTCTACATGTAATATCTTATTATCATTGCTATAGGTTTTAAAAAATACTGAACGATTATTAAGACTATTAATAGTTTTACAAAAAGTTATATAATTTTTCTAGTAGCCTATTGATTTTATAAAGTACGGAGAACAATATATGATTAATACGAATAGCATGAGTAAACAGAATATTATTATATAATAAAATATTTAATGACAGGATCATAACTATGGCCTTACAATAAAGTCAAATTACGAAGGCCAGAAAACATTCCTTTGCTGATGAAGGCAAGTTCGTTATAACGTAAATACCTTATAGTTTATGTCAGTAGTAATATTAGAAGAAAAATTAATAATAAGTATGGTAATAATTAAGCTTAAAATCCATCCGTTTGGTCTTTTAATATTAGTGAAAAACAATATATATAGCAAACATGAGAACACAGAAAAAATTAAATTCTAGCTAACGAAGTGGGCTGTAGTTGGAATAGATTAGCAAGGTACTTCTAAAAATTTATCAGTTGGCTTATGGAGTAAGCCACAAGCGTTTTAATAAAGACTAAAATCTTACAATTCAGTCAAGGCAACGAGATGAGAAAACGAATCGTCTTCAATTGATTTTATTTTGTTATCCAATAATTTTCTACAAGTAATATGTTACTAACATTGCAATAGGATATAAAAAATACTGAACACGATTAAGGTTCTTAATTATATTACAAGGGAGTAACTATATAATTTATCGAGTAAGCAGCGAACATTTTAAGATTGATTCGAGTAGCATGAGTGAACAGAATATTATTATATAACAAAATATTTAATGATAGGATCATAATTATGGCCTTACAATGAAGTCAAATTACGAAGGCCAGAAAGCAATTCTTTGCTGATGGAGGTAATTTGGTTATAACCTAAATTTCTTATAGTTTATGTCAGTAGAAATATTAGAAGAATAATTAATAAGTATGCTAAAAATTAAGCTTTAAATCTATCCATTTGGTCCTTTAATATTAGTGAAAAAACAATATGTATAGCAAACATGAGAACACAGAAAAAATTAAATTCTAGTTAACGAAGAGGGCTGTAGTTGGGATAGATTAGCAAGGTAAAATAAAAAAAATTTATCAATTAGCTTATGGAATGACCCACAAGCTTTTTAATAAAGAATAAAATCTTACAGTTCAGTCAAGGCAACGAGATGAGAAAACGAATCGTCTTCAATTGATTTTATTTGACTATTCCATAAAGATCTACAATATGTTAAAAATAAGTATAGAATTTAAAAATACTGAACACAATTATTAAGACCCTTCATAATATTATAAGGAAGTAACTATATAATTTTAGTAAGCGGCGAACACTTTATGATTTATTTGTATAACATAAGTGAACAGAATATTATTATCTAATAAAATATTTAATGACAGGATCATAATTATGGCCTTACAATAAAGTCAAATTACGAAGGCCAGAAAACATTCCTTTGCTGATGGAGGTAATTTGATTATAACTTAAATCCCTTATAGTTTATGTCAGTAGTAATATTAGAAGAAAAATTAATAATAAGTATGGTAATAATTAAGCTTAAAATCCATCCATTTGGTCCTTTAATATTAGTGGAAAAACAATATATATAGCAAATATGAGAACTCAGAAAAAATTAAATTTTAGCTAACGAAGAGAGCTGTAGTTGGATAGATTAGCAAGGTAATGCCTCTTAAAATTATCAATTGCCTTATGGAATAACCCCAAGCGTTTTAATAAAGAATAAGAATCTTACAATTCAGTCAAGGCAATGAGATGAGAAAACGAATCGTCTTCAATTGATTTTATTTTGTTATCCAATAATTTTCTACAAGTAATATGTTACTAACATTGCAATAGGATATAAAAAATACTGAACACGATTAAGGTTCTTAATTATATTACAAGGGAGTAACTATAATTTATCGAGTAAGCAGCGAACATTTTAAGATTGATTCGAGTAGCATGAGTGAACAGAATATTATTATATAACAAAATATTTAATGATAGGATCATAATTATGGCCTTACAATGAAGTCAAATTACGAAGGCCAGAAAGCAATTCTTTGCTGATGGAGGTAAGTTTGTTAGAACCTAAATTCCTTATAGTTTATGTCAGTAGTAATATTAGAAGAAAACTTAAAAATTAATATGGTTGTTATTAAGCTTAAAATCCATCCATTTGGTCCTTTAATATTAGTGAAAAAACAATATGTATAGCAAGTATGAAAGCTCAGAAAAATTAAATTCTAGCTAACGAAGAGGACTGTAGTTGAATAGATTAGCAAGGTAGTACCTCTAAAAATTTATCAATTGGCCTATGAATTAACCTACAAGCATTTTAAAAAAGAATAGGAATCTTACAATTCAGTCAAAGCAACGAGATGAGAAAACGAATCGTCTTCAATTGATTTTATTTTGTTATTCATTAAGTTTCTACATGTAATATCTTATTATCATTGCTATATGTTTTAAAAAATACTGAACGATTATTAAGACTATTAATAGTATTACAAAAAGTTATATAATTTTTCTAGTAGCCTATTGATTTTATAAAGTACGGAGAACAATATATGATTAATTCGAATAGCATGGGTAAACAGAATATTATTTTACAATAAAAATTGCATGATACGATCATAATTACAAACTTACAAAAAAGTCAAGCTGAAAAGGCGAGCAAACATTTTTTTAGTGATGACGGTAAGAGCGTTATCTACCAAATTTCTTATAATATAAGTCAGGAATAATTATGATAGAAACTTTACAATGTATAGTTCTAAGTAAATATATTCTTACAATTCCTTGTTATTATTAGAAAAAAATACATTGCCGCTAAAAAAACACTTAAATTAAAAAAAAATGTTATCTAGAGAATATTTACGTCTACTCTATAGCTTTTTCTTACTAACTTAAAATAAAGATATAATGGAAGTCAAATCTTACATGGACGTTACAGCAGTGTTTAAACTTGCTCCCTTCGGTGGAAAAGTATCCAAGTTGCACCCTCTTAAATACCTTTAAAATATGTATGCATTATCGTAAAGGACGTTACAACATCAAGTATAATGCTAAAAGTTCTACTGAGTAGATACTTAATTATAGTCAAAAGTATATTATTAATAAGACATTAACTAGGTCTTCTGACTTTAAATTAAGATCATTAATATTCTGGTCTTAGGGATTTTACGTTCACAATGTGTCAGCAATTTGTAAGGCAGGCATGGATACTTACATTTTTTCATGGGCGGTGTATGTCCCTGGGCAGTGAGATTCTTGTGCATACTGCGAATACACCCATTTCCCTTGAAAAATAAATATGAGTACGGCAAAGAGACAGCCCGCAAGCGGCATACTGACAATAATTACCACTTTTGACACTAACTTGCTCTTAAATACTTGCAGAATAATGTTGTGTATGTTAATTGTTTAAATATTTGCATTCGTACCTTTATATATTAACGCAAGTTAATCACCTCTTCCCTGGTTAGTCTGTCAAAAGTAATAACGCAAAATTTCCTAATATGTTTACTTTAATGCTATGAATAATGAAGTATTATTATAAAAAACCTTAACCGAATAATAAAAAATTATTTTTACTTATTCTTATTAAAAATTCTTCTTTGAGTTTATAACTTCGTTTGTTATTTTGAAGAAGATATAAAGTAATACAATTTTTATAAAGAAAATAAATATTTATTTTTTTTACTTTTTCTAGTTTTCATGAATATTTATAAATAGATATTATTTTAACTTATTATTATTTTTTGTTTCGCTAAAAATATACATGTAATATTTTATTTTTATATATATATAAGTTTTTTTACCAGAATTTTATAAGAAAAAATGAAAATAATAAATAAAATATATAAAAAAATTTTTTATTATTATATAAATTTTTTTTATTTTGAATAGTCACTTAACACTGCTTTGATCATAAATTTCTTTAAGTTCGTTGTATTTAATGAATATTTGTATTCATTAATTTTAATTTCCTTTATAACTACTAATTTTTATTATAATTAATTTCTTTTTGGGTTGTAATAATAATTATAAATAGAATTTTTTTAAAAAAGTTTATAATTATCACAAAAATTTCAAAATAATGATATCAAATATAATGATACTACATGAAAGTCAAGAACTTTTAAGAATGCAATTATTATATATTTATATTAATATACTTATTTATTTTATATATAAAAAAAATTATAACAATTTCTATTACCCATGATTTTAATGAGAAATACTGGGAATTATACATAATAAAAGTGAAATAGTAATTCCTACTTTTTTTTGAAGAGATATAGTAAATATAATTTTTTAACTTGATTTTATTAACAAAATGTACATTTTCTTTAGTTTACTTAATATTTCTATAGGTTTATTATATTAAGTTTTAATAAATTTGTATTAATCATAGTTTATTTTATAATAAATAATCGTAGCACGGGCTGGGAATACCACGTGATAATGCTATTTTATATTGAATTCCTTTTTAATTTCATTAAAAATAACTGGATTGGTGTTTACGTTCAAGTTTAAAATAAACATTCCCAGTTTCAAATTGACCGATCAGGAAAGTTTTATGACGAGCTAAATAAAATATTTTTATAAACGTATTATATTGCGATATACTGCTTATTTTTTCTAGATATTTAATTAGTATTACTGTAACAGGGTTTTTTCAGGTCTCCCTAGGGTTGTGGGCTGTTGTAGGAGTTTTGAGGGTTAAATGTTTTACAAAAAAAAAAAAAATGCCATTACAAACGCACTCCCGTGCTTTGTGAGTCGGCCTCTTCAGATAAAATTATTGAGGCAGGTCTCATTGTCACTAAAATATTTTTATTGTTAGCGAAAGTCTATAAACTATTTATATACTATAAGATTTCAGGCTGTTTTTACAATTCTATCCTGTAAGTAATATAAACACCATTATTACCCAATAAAGCTAATATTGGAAACAACCATAAAGCTAAACTTTTGTAGTGTATCTTATTTTTATAGACAAAAATTATAGTTTTTTTATTCTTTTTTTTTTTTTTAACTTTTCTTATAGTTTAAGTTAGAATTAGGTAAATTGTTTAATCCTTGTTATAGCATTTCAATTATCTGGTTACTGTAACCTAAGTGAATTTTTTCTTTTTAGGTTTGAAAGGAACTTTAGTTTCTTAGTAATTCAGGTGTATTACACTTTACGAAATAATTGTATATTGTAAGCTACGCTAACACCTACAGTTTAGTTGAATCTCTCGAAGGTTTAGCTTAAGTCTTTATTTCAAATAATAATTAGTTTTACTAAGTAATTTGAACTTATAATTTCAATATAAAAAGCCTATTTTATTTTAGAGTTACAAATATGCAAACACTACTTAATTTTTAAAATTATTACAAATTTGAAAAGGTAACGTCAGTTTTCTTTTTGCTTTTTTATACCTGCAAAATATAGTTTTTGTACGACAAACTATATAGATATAAAAGATCCTATAAAACAGATAAAATAAGTGCATCGAACGGAAGTATAAAAAAGTCAAAGAATAAAGAGTATTAAATAGTAAGAACACTTGACGTGCTAAGAAAAAAAGTAAATCAAAGGAATGTAAGGTAGTCAGTTAGTAACTTATTTATACTACTACTGATGGGTATACCAAAAGAAGTATGTAAAACGGTTTACTTGACCACAAAATCTACCTTACAAGATTTTAGAGTTTGAATTATATATAAAATATATATCTGATAACATAGATTGTAATAAATAAAGGGCGAAGATTACATTTTATTTTAAGTAAAAAAGATAAACGGATGGACTCTGGAAAAAGGCCTACATAGGTTCGAATTTATCTTCACAGTTTAACTTAAACCCAGACCGAAAATAAACAAAGCTATCAACCATTAGGAAAATAAGAAGTAAAAATATTTATAAGTCTCTAACACAAAAATTCTTTTTTAGTTTTATCAACAACCTTCTTTAAAAGGTCAGAATCTACATAAAAATCTAAAAATTTCTCGTATAAAAACTACAGGCGGCCTGCGACGGGCATCAAACAGTAAAATTTTAAGAATTTCCTAAAGTAAAAGAGCCAAAACATTTTAATTTCGTCTTTATTCATTTATGTAGTCTGACAAGTTTACCAATTAGACCCCATTTAAGGAGTTATTCCCAAGGCTTACAATAATTAACTTCGTGACTTGTGACCTAAGAATCTTCTCTGTGCCAAGTGCTAAC